CGTACACCCCCGCCCGCATTGTAAGGGGGGGCTGGACTCTAGGTTGCCCAAATTCTAACTGACGCCCTTTGTAAGATCCGGTTTGGAGTCCAAAACCTAACTTTGCAGGAGGGCCCTATTCATCTCCGTTACGCCACTGTCAACTGGCTACATGAGATGACCGTCGTCCATCTTTAGACTTAGGCCTATCATCAAACACCATCATTGCTCATTTAGTCAAACGGCCGTCGGTCGAGCCGGTTTATGCCATTGTAAGGTATGCAGATTTATGTGTTTTGGATTATTGTTTGTATGAGTATTTGTTTGTGTGTGTGTGACAACGTATGCTAAGTACCGAATATTTTTAAGGGTCAAAGGTGGAGTCTACATTTGTGTAGGGGTCCAGGGCCCACTTTTGCTCTGTTTGGGGCCAAGGACCTCTAGAAATCTTAAGACGTGTCTGCCTATAAGGTAACTTTGTCTAGCCTATCTGTTACATCTGTATTACTTCTTTCCCTTGTATACTAATTTATATTAATAGCATTAAGCCATTTATCAAGCCGGCTGCAGTGCCACTTTCATTTGGTCGACCCAAAAATTTTTATTGCGAGTTTTATGCGATATTTTTAATGCATTTCTTTTACAACATATGGCAAAATTTCTAACCTCTCTCTGTTTAATTTCTCTTCAGATTTGAAATTCAAAACTGGAGGCTTCGCAAGGTAATATATCAGAATTGCATGTGTGGGTGTAAGATAAACAAACTTAGTCTTCAATTCAATTGCAGCTTTTTTATTCGGTTTCCTGTTTGTTCATTGCGGTAAAAATCAAAGCAAAAATTACTTAATTGAGGGAGATGACGCCATATTTTGAAAGCACCGTAACCCTCATTTTCTCTAACTCATTGTTAAAATAAAAGAATTGAATTTTCCATCAAAATCTTAGTTAAAAAAAACATTCTTTATTCTGTGACTAATTCATCAATTACTACCTAATTGTTCTCGCTCTTACATATTATTATTTTTGCTTGTGATTAATTGTATTTTTTATTTCTTTCACAAACTGCACATCTTGCCTGTCGATATTCGTAAAAGAATTGTGCCAATTAAATTCCAGTTATGTCAGTTAAAATGTAATTGAAAATTTCAAACTATGTGCATGAATTTGCCGGTTTTCACTAAAGATATCTGAAATAATCAAAGTATATGCATATTTAACAGATGTTTTTTCATTTAAATTCCTATTTAATATTAGTTTTCACTGCAGATATTTATGTTCATATATAATTTATATTCGCACAATGCCAAGTACAAAGGTACTCTCTTGTAAGAGTTTACATCACATCTGTGAGAGAGATTTTCAGCTTACTTGAATCACTATAATCCTCGAACATTCCTTTTCTTTGCTTTATTACAAATGTAACCAAACGTCTGAAGTATATTGTTGCGATTTTGCGTGGGAGAGAGGAAATCAGCTAATGGCTCCAATTATTAGCATAATAACATATTTATTATAGGACAAAGACGAACAAACTAAAGCAAATCGACGTTACACCAGTACCGGTTTAAGCTCATTTCGGGCCCTGGGCGCAGAAGATCTACTAGCCCCCTTGGCACTGGCGGATCCAAGGAGAGGCTCTTGGATCCGGTTAAGTCCAGCTTATCTGGACCCAGCGCCCAGTGGATATGCTTGCACTGATATACACAAAGAAATATTATAACAGATTATTTACAGTAATGGAAAAACGCACTCATAAACAAGCTTTACGGCGCTTCAGAAATGACTATCTAGAGCATTTCCACTTGCAGGAACTCAGGCAGATAAAGTCTGTCTTATCGCAGCCAACGCTCAAACAGATTCTGAACTTGACCAATTTGACTTACTTTTATATAGTCTCATGAAAATTTCCAGAAGGGTCAATCCTAGCGTCTTCTTGAAGGTTCCTTGGCTCTATAATTTTTCACCAAATCTGTCGCCAAGGGCAATTAATTCGCCAATCTGGTGACCCTGCTCACATTTTCTAGGGTTCCTATCATCAAATTTCTGTTTTTGCTGGGTAGTATTTTCAATGTAAAACTTCTTTTCCTGCAAGCAGTGTATCATTGCAGGGAAAACAATATGCTTCGTGTATTTCAATATACACACATATTCCCTTGATAATTTTCAAAATATTTTTACAAAAACTAGTAATATTATGTTATAAATGATTAATCCTTTTACTCAATGGCGTATCAGATTTGTCATCATGCTATTAACCCTACATTCTATTTTACAGCTTTTGAGCTGTGGCGATTTAAAAACAACTAGGGTGAGAGATGATTCTCTAATGATTAGTATCTCTTACATTTGACAAAATAAAGTTTTCTACGCAACATTTTTCAAAGATATTTGCACTGATTGATAGATTATTGTTTTTTTCCGATTCTCGAAAAATATTGAACTTTAAAAAATACATTTTACTCTAAGAAGTACGAGAGTTATTTAAAATAAGTCATGGAAAACGTGTGTCAGTTCACGGTATGCGAAACGCCATCTGTGTAATTAAGAGAATTAGGAGTGAATTGTTGTGTCTTCAAATAAGAATATGTGAACTGTGTTTGCGCCAGCCCAACTGCGCATGCCCAGTTATTCTGATATGAATGTAACAAGTGTTGTGAGTAAAAAATAAAAGCCAGTCCACTAGAAACTGTGTCGTGATTGTGTCATGAGAATAATGAAGGAGTAATTAAGCTATCGACTAAAAGAGAACCATAAATATGGACAGTGTTTGCACCATAAAATTGGTTATTGTGCTAGAGACTCTGGAGTCAACTGCTTAAGTGTTGGAGTTGACCCAAAAACGTGAATTCTAACTAACAAATTTTTAGATGGTCGGATTCCGAATATTATGAAAACACCAAATTCAAAATGTCATACTATTTTCTCCGACCGTTTTGGAAATATTCAAAAGCGAAATTATTAATCACGATCAGAAAGATTTAAGGGACCTTTCACTAGTTTATAATTGTTAATTAGCGATCCCCACAATGTTTGAAAAGGAAAATTGTGAACGGTCTATTTTATTTTTGTACTAACAATAAATATGTTATTCTAAGCCTAAAATGTCTTTAAGAACAGGAACGTAAATTCCAAGTTACTACTTTCAAAATGAAGACATTCCAAGAAAGGAATTATAATAAAATACCTTCAGACAAAATGAGTATTAAAATATATATTAAAAATTTATGTTACATTTTTTATACATGCATTGGTGTTTTATACTCGTACATTTAACTTCATACTCTTATATAGTTCATACATATATCATGTATGGAACTGAAAATATGTTAGTCTATTTAAATGCTTCATTTTTCATTCCATCTGTAATATCTTCGACGAACAATAAACAATCATCCCCGCCCCAAAAAAATTGAAAACATCAATGGATAAAATGTTTTTAAAGCATATTTAACGCTGTAATACTATTTTTTTAACTAATTTCTTGTGGCTTTTTCTCATTACTTTTAAACTTTCTTTAATTTAGCTAAAGTATTCAAAAACTCAATCCTATGCACCCATTATAAGTAGCAAATCTTGCTTTTACCGTTTTTTTTTTTTAAAAAACAATAAAAACAGCCAGTACATACTGTGAGTATATGTGTATATGAAGTACCTACCAACATATCAGCCGTATCAATGATACGGGCCTCCAAAATTCAGGGGCCCCAAAATGTCCTAGCAAACAATATTAAAATGTTAAGGGGTCCGAAAAGAGGGCCCCCAATGAATTTAGATACAGGGCCCACTTAGGACTAGCTACGCCCTTGATACGAAGCCGTCAATAAAAATTATTTCAGATAATATGAAATGCTTGCTCTCTGTACGCTTACTTAGACAAATTTTTGACAGTTTTCTCACGTATTTCAATTTACACAACCATTTAGCCCCATATCACAGGTACTCATAACATCTATGAGATGTGCCATGGATTTCTAATGGACTTTTTTCAGGTACAATGCATATTTATGAGAATTATACTATTGTGTGCTGTCTACTTTAAAATTTAATTTTAAATTTCCACTTGAATTTTCAACTAAATCTTTTATCTAACAGGCGGAAGATTACTTCATGTGTTTTCTTTTTTTTATATAAATGCATCTTTTATTTCAATAACCTTGCCTTCAACTTTCGAAACAATGCAAAGTCATTTAATTGTTTTTTTCTTACATTTCACAACTAAATTGATCTTTACGACGTACTTACCGTTTTACTAAACTACGCAGCTTAATTACTCTTTCTATTTCAAAGGAACTCTGCAATCATTTTAATTGGAACGGCAAAACCGCTGTTCAAAAGAAATTTATTTTGAAAATTATTATCTTACTAGGAATCTCTCTCTCTTGTGATTAAGCAACATCAAACCTCAATGCAAGTTTAAAAATAAATTAATTAAAATTTCGCTTTTCATGATAGCTGGATAATTATTTAAAAACATTTAGCAAAATAAACTAGTATGTACAAAATAACGAATGTTAAATAAGGTAGTGTTACTTATTTAGATAATTAATTGACGAAATGTGCATTTTTTTCATCTCTACTTCAGAAACCTGATTACTTGACAATATGTACACACTGCATGCCACTGGTACAAATGCATCTTCTGTCTAGAAATTCATTGAAAATTTTTAAGTGCACATTTTATTGATATAGAATAATTTGGGGAAGAAATTATTTATCGATTCTTGATAGTACTTGTGATTTTGAAAAAGCGTATAAATGAATAATTTTTTTCATTTCCTGCTGTGATAGTTCACTCTCCCTCTTTATATATATCCTGTTCAAATTTTCAATCGTTAATAAAATACTTTCTATTCATCCAATCAAGTTCAAATACATTTTTTAAAACTTCTAGGGGATGACACTTGATGTTAATACAGTTTTTCAAATATTTTAATGCATTAATTAAATTAAAATATGAATAAATTGTAACAAACAAAAATAATATTCCAGCAGCTTATATAGAAAGGAAAATCATTCGTTGTGTCCCTGTAGAGCAATAGATAGCGTGTTGGACTTCTAATCCAAAGGTCATGGGTTCCAGTCCCACCTGGGATGGCCTAATTTCTGAGAATGTGATTTTTTTTACTGTACTATTTTATTAGAATAATTAAATTTAATTAATGAATAAACAGTAACAAAAAAATAGTCCAACATCCTATATAGAAAGGAAGATGGAAAATAGCTAGACAAATCGTTTTCTATTTCATCATTTTATATTGTGATTTTGTCTCATATGTAAATACATATTTATATTAACAGTAACTATTTAATAAAAAGTGACTAAAATAAGATTTTTCTTTGTTGACCTAAATAGGAATTGAGAGTATAAAATAAGGAAACAAGGTACCTTAAATGAAATACTAAATTCCCACTTAATAATATTTCAGGAAATATATCAAATTTTTTCGTAACAATATATATTAGGTCGGGGGAAAAGAAATCCAATATTTTTCATGAAAATCAAGACTTTATTTAACATGCTTCCGATTGTCCGATTTGGGTCAAATATGTACCGTTTTTTTGTATTATTTGTTGCCATTTTAAAGGTAGCTTCATAATGCTTCTCTCATAGAAGTCTTGGCCCTTATTGTCGAAAACATCTAGTAATCGATTTTCACAATATTCTCTTGATCCCAATTTCTTATCACTCAGGAAGTTTTGCAATGCGAGAAAAAGGTGGTAATCGCTTGGTGCCAGGTCCAGACTATATGGTGGATGCATTAAAACTTCCCAACCAAGCTCCCAGAGGTTCTGGCGAGTCACTACAGAAGGGTGTGGCCTGGCGTTGTCCTGATGGAACACAACACATCTTACGTTGGGCCAATTCTGGTCAATCTCTAGCTTCAAACGATCCAGTCGTTGACAGTAGAGATCTGAATTTAGTATTTGGCCATGCGGGAGCAACTCCTAATAAAATATTCCTTTCCAGTCCCACCAAATACACAGTAGAACCTTCCTGGCCGTTAGTACTGGTTTGGCCACCGTTTGAGCTGCTTCATCGCATTTTGACCACGATCGTTTTCTCACAATATTGTAGTATGTGACCCATTTCTCATTCCCAGTCACCATCCGTTTATGAAATGGGTCGATTTCATTCCGTTTGGCCAAGGCTTCGCAGATGGAAATTCGATCCATCATGTTTTTTGGTGTTAATTGGTGTGGCACCCAAACATGGAGCTTCTTTTTGAATCCAACTTTGCGCAGATGGCTTAAAACTGTTTTATGGTCAATCTTTAGCTCTTGGGCGATGCTACGACTACTAACATTCCTGTCAAGTTCGATTATTTCTGTGATTTTATGGACATTTTCGACGACGATCTTTAACATCAAAAATACCTGAACGGAATTGACGAAACCAAAATTGCACGTAATTAGCTGTTACACTATCGGCACCATAAACACCATTCGCAATTTCAGCCCCCTGGCTTGCATTTTTGCCTTTATCAAAGAAAAACTGTAAAAAGAACCGAATTTTCTCTTTGTTGACTTCCATTTTTAACACTCTGTAACTCACAACTGAATAGACCAAACAAACAAACAAAAAAAAAAATAGCAAGGTAATTTTTTTAGAGCGAAATGTCCTCTTGACAACGAGCATAAATTTGAAATTGTTTGATGGATACTTCATGAGATATCGACACTACAGCCATCTACCGAAAAAATAATGGATTTCTTTTTCCCCAACCTAATATATATATAATTTCAACTTCAATCCACACCCCGAAAATTACCCCCCCCCCCCCGGGATAGTGTCCGGTATGTTTGGCCCTAGAGCCGTCCTTGCGGAGTCTGTCATCTTCAAATGACACAAATCATTAACATGTATTAAATATATCCTGAAATAACAAAACCAATCGTGAACTAAAACTTTAAGATGGCCCCTCCATGGGGGACGAGAAAAATAAAGCAATCAATGATTTTACTTGTTCTGTTGAAATTATAAAACAAGAAATAGTTAATAGAAAAAAAAATTCGGAAAAAAAATAACGAAGTTTACAATAAAAGTTGGCTGTTATGTAAAACTCAAAAGCAAGAAAGGAAATATGCTGAAAAACTGTTTTATTGTTATGTTCCGGGCCCTTCCTATTGTCATATTCTCCGTTATGCCATTATCGAATTCTACGTATATATAAAGAACTGTTAGGAGTGTAATGATTAGCAAAAACGCTGATTCCACTTTCTCAAGCGTTTTTCAGTGGTTCTTTTGATCTTATCTGCGAGTTGTGCGTTAGATAGTTGATGACGATGAATTTGGTGCTGCGACAACTGATATTTATATCAATTGTCCAGCCTTTCTTTTCTGCTATGGTGTTAGGTTTTAACAAGGGACTTCCCGATAGAAGGTTTCATCTTTTTTTTTACACGAAAACTTTATTGCCAAATAAAAATACCTTATATCATCGTGAACTATAAACTTTTTACTAATTTTCGACATAGTCGTCACCAATGGTAAGCTAGTTGCCACTACGTGGAATCAGTTTGAAGAAACGGCTCTGATAAAACTCCGTACTGTGGGATGCAAGAAATTGTCGTACAGCCTGCTTCTCCTCACCGTTGTTTTGAAGGAATTTTTTCCTCACTGATGAACTGGAATACTTCCACGTCATTGAGGTGGTTTTGGTATTAGGGGTGCATCCATGTGTTGATTATTAGGGATTACAACATCGGACCAAAAGTTCAATACCGGTATTCGGTATTTTTTAGATCATAATACCGGGATACCGGTTTTAATACCGGTAATAGAAACTTTAAAAAAAGAAAGAAAACACAGGCATTCTTTTGTTTTATTTGCCAATTTTATTAGAGAGAGTAAATATCCCCCCCCCCAAAGCATTTGTAACATATAAATTATATAACAGTGCATAAAAAAATCACAATAAAGCAAAGGAATATCTTACTTATTTAAATAACAAGAACGTGTAAATGTCACTATTCACACACAGTCTGTGGTACTATTATAAGTTTTTGAAGTGTGATCTTAAATCTTATTCATTATTATCTTTTTCTTCTTCATTATAATGAGTTATTATTTATGAGCATATATATAATGAATCTGAAAAATTTTTTGAACCCTAAAATATGATATGCAAATACAATGTGAATAACAAAACTCACCAATTTAAGAAATATCGAAATATTACGCACTTTCTTCTTAACTGCAACCTTGTTTTCACGGATACGAATATCAGATGATTTCTGTGCGTGTGCAGTACGGCTCAGAGCTGTAATAGGATAGTTTTGCCCCCCTCCTTGTATGATTCACATCACTTCTCTTGATTGTTCTATGCAAATTTATATTCACATTCTAATTAATTTCGCTCGTTAGGAGACATAAAAACAAAAACGTATACTATTTTGCTACATTTTTTATCCCTGAACATATAGTGGAGCCAATTAAAAATTCTCTTAAATACCGAAAAAACGGTATTTAAACTTGTGAATACCGGTATTACAAAATTGTACAAATGGCACAAAATACCGGTATTCGGTATCCCGGTATAGCAATCCCTATTGATTATGAACAGGAACTCATTTCCTTCTCCCACGTGTGGTTGGTTCCCATTTTCGCATTTATTTAAACCAGTATCCGGGCTTTCGGCACCCATCTTGCAGATACTTTTCTGTAATCCAACACATTATAGTGCATGTGATGAACATGAGCACGATCAATGCACGGTGTGAACGCCACTCTCACACCATTATGCCCCTGTCCATCAAAACCATGCCCTGTACTCTAGCAGTGTTGTTTTCATTTATACATGCGGAGAGACGCCCACTTCGACCTTCATCCTCCTCACTCTGCCATCCTTCAATGAATATGTAACACCAGCAACCCGTAACGGGTCTATCCGCGTTCTTTCCACTCAGTCCTTTTAGGGAGTAATGGGTCTTTAAAAAGTTTTCAATTGAAAACCTTCCTCCAAAGAAGATGTTATTATGTAAATTAAGAGTTGTATATAAAGATTAAACTTTCGAGTTAGTTAGAGAGAGGTTAGACTGCTATAGGATAGCAGTGCTTGATTAATGTAAAGTTAAGTGAGAGCAATTTGTAGCTTATTGGATTAATATTAAGATTGACGATTTGGTCAATTAGTGGTTAAATTAGATTCGTTCCGTTTGAATTAGAACGTGCATTGCCTGGACGTGTTCAGTGTAAATTATCTGATTTAATATTAATCTCCAAGTATCTCGTCTACCTCGCGGTTGCTTCACAAATTTGGTAATTGGTGCATTTCTTAGGTTATTGAATTTGTGTTGTTGTAGATAAGTGTGAATAAATAGAAGTTGTTTTGAATATGTCTAATCTTCCTTCCGACCCTCTCACTCTAATGAACGGCATGGGACGTCCATTATAAACCAAACATTTGACGAGACATGATCGCTTTACCGTACACTGTGTGTAGGCGTTAATGGATGACAGAAACACTAATTCATATGCTCATTCACACCAGGAAACAGCACGCATTTTCATTGGAGACAACGCTGTAGGCTCATGTTTGTCTGCTATTATGATTTGTACTTTAATAAATTTGGGTGCGCCGGTCTGTGTGTTGCTACTCTCTCTCTTCTTTGGTGCTCTGTCCATCGTCAGTTGTCTTACGCTGCCATTCCTTCCATCGTTTAACCAGCAACGGGTGTGATTTCTTATGGTGATTGTTTGTAACACCAGGTGTACCATCTTCACTAAAAAAAAAATGATGAAACTTACTTTCGGAACTTCCCTTCATACCTTCTTCCTGATAATAAGATAATGCTTGGAGGTTCGCGGGACTTGTTGCTGTGAAGTGTCTTTCAGTTTGCTGAACACTGCCTTGACTTAATAGGTTGCTACCCTTTAGAACACGTTTGAGACCAAATGGGACCATATTAGTGACAATCCATCTTGATAAGTAGTTATAATTTATCAAGGTGTATTTAAATGTAATGTTTCAATTTAAATCTTGGGGCAGAGGTAGAAAAAAAACAACGCCATATTGAGAACTGTTCTCTTCGTAATGATTGAATTCTTAAATAACTTTTGCAAATGTTTCGAAATTGTTTAATTTTGTAAACAT